TGAATTGGGTGGTTTCTCTTACGGAGTAGAGGGTTCTGAGCACACCCTGGACACAGGCCCTTCGTCAGATACGAGATTTGCAGGTAGTTCCTCTCTCCATCTGTGACTTGTCTGTTGCTTTCTGAGTGGTGTTTGCAGGGTGAAAGCCTTTAATGTTGGTGAAGTCAGTTTATCAAAAAAGTTTTCACGGGGATCACACTGTGGGTGTCATGTCAGAACTCGCGCTGCCCTCTCGTCCCTAAGATGCATATGATTCTCGCTGTTGTGTTTGCCACTGTGACGCCTTCCGAGCTCGCGGTCCCGTGTGGGGGGAGGCCACCTGCATTCTCAGGGCTGGTTCGTAGGTCGTTTCCAGGTAGGCTTTCGTTCTTTGGATAGAGTTATTTCAGATTTTACTATTTTATTGTGACGGTAGGGGGCGCTTGTAGAAAAGAGGAAACGCAGGCCAGCGCAGAGGCGGCCGGCTGGGCCCCTGCCATCCCGAAAGCACCCGCGAGCACTTGCTTCTGCGAGCGTGTGTTCACAGTCGCCCGTATCACGTCACTTCTTGACCAGGCCCTCCCCTCCCCTCCTGTCGAGGGCCACGTCCGTTTTGACTAACAGCCCTTGTTCGTCCTGGGCGCGGGCCTCGTGCGGAGCCCAGGCCGGGCTGGGCGGTGGCTCCTCACTGCCTGCAGGACAGGCTCCAGCCTCGCCCGGGCTCGGCCCTGTCTCCCCCTGCCCGGAGGCTGGTAGCAGCACCCGCCTGGCCAGGGACTTGGGGGCTCCCCCTCACGAGGAGCTGCTGTCTTCCGCAGCGCACCCGCCCTGTCCCCGACCTTCTCGTGGGCCACAGCCATCAGACCCTTCTGCAGACACGAGGCTGGCCCCAGCTTTGTCTTTTCGTTTGTAAGTAACCCTGTGGGCCACGGCACCGGTTCGAATATTCCCTTGCGTGGACGACTGTGTCTTTTCTTTGTATCTCGGAAAGGCAGCACAGGGATCAGAGCGCAGGCGCGCCTCAGGGTGTCCATGTATGTGGGGCTCACCCTGGTCGTCTGCCATCTGAGCGGCCCCTCCCACGTGGGGGTGGGCTTTGAAAGGGACGCCCCTGCCCCGGGCTCTGCTCCCCAGGCCACGCTGAGGTCACGCGGGGCTTGCCCTTCCTTTCAGGACTGGAAGGACCACCAGCACGTGTGTGGCCAGTCGGCGGCTGTCACCGTCCAGGCGGACCAAGTCCACGTCACTGACAGCGTGATGGAGAAAGTCACCGTGTGAGGGTCCCCGGGTCCCCTCTCCACGGTGCCGCGGGGCTGCCGCAGGTCGGGGACTTTGGAGGATGTTGAGAAGGTAAAAACACTTGCTGGTCAAGTTGTTAACACACTTTATGTGACTTGTGCCCTTGGAAACGAGCTCCTGCCTCCCGGAAGCCCCAAGGGAGGTCGGGCAGCAGCTGGACGCCGGCCCCGGGCCCTTGGCGCCTTCTCACGGTGCTCTTTTTTATCCCCTGGTCTTCCCCTTGGGTGTGTCATGTGCTGTAACACGCGTGTACAGAACATGTGTCTGTCAATAAAGCGGATGTGTCTGCCCCACTGGGACGGGAGACTCCAGCTCCAACTTCCCAGACGCCCCAGAGGCGGCTGGGCCCCAGCTTCGTATATCCTGACGTGCGGCTTGGAGGTCACAGCTCCCAAGGGTGTGGACCAGCAAGTGGGTGGCCGCTGGCTGCCTACTGGGAGCCTCCAGTCCAGTCTCAGGTGATAGGGCCCCAGACTTGCCTCATGGCCGCCACGGCCTTCCTTCTCTCTAGCACGAGGTTGTCCCCCGAGAGCCCTGACCGCCCTGCATCTCCCTGCCTGCACTGAGTGGCAGAGGGCACAGGGGGCCAGGGAGGGGTCGGCGCCCAGAGCCCTTGGCCGGCTCTGGAGATGAGACCTGCCGTCCCCTGCTGACCAAGAGTGGTGCCGAAGAACGGTTAGTTGCCCATGTTCTGGAAGATTCTGTAGGTTTCCAGAAGTGCCCTCATAGCTCTGGAGCCCTTGGCCTGCCGTCGTCGTTTTCTCTGCACTTCAGAGGCTTGGGGGCTCCACTGTGCTGGGGAGAGATGGTGAAGGCCCACCCCCGCTGGAGACGTGCCCTGAGTGTGCTGCCACCACAACGCCTGGGCGCTAAAATGTTTGCACACTTCCCTGGATTCTCTTGCTCATCTCTGAATGCTGTTTCTGGGAACTCTGCATGTTTACACCCCTGTGGGTTGGGGAGAGTTCCCCCAGCCCTGATTCTTCCTGAGCTCCTACTTCCATAAAGTTCTCCCAAGGCTGTAGCACCCTGGAGACTTGGCTTTGGGGATGGTGGCTCCAGAATGAGCTGAGGAGGCAGCCAAAGTTCTGATAGGAAAGGGGTGTGAGCAGGGGGGTCCCGGAGGTGCTGCTGTGTCTCCCGAGCCGAGTCTGGCTCCCAGAGGCTCCCCTGGGATGGGGTGGGCCTGGCCCTGGCCTCGCAACAGACCCCAGCCTGGCTGCTCTCGAGGCACCCATCAAGGCCCTGCTCCCGAAAGCCGCCCCTGCGTCTGCCCTCATGACCTCTACGGACCAAGCTGGTGTATTTGGATTTTCTTTTACTGAGTTTAGCATGTACTTGAGTCACTGAATTTCATCTTCCGGCCTTTGCTGGCACCGCTCAGGGAGATGAAGGCCGAGGAATCTGGACATGTGCCCCAGGCCGAGGACGTGGTGAGCGTGGTGGGATTTGACCCTGGCCCCAAGAGGCACCCCAGACTGCCCCCCACTGGGCACATTCGTCAGAGGCGCACACTGCTGCAGGCAGAACGTGGTGGGTAGGGGGTGCATCTCAGCTCCTGGCTGTGGCCCTGCCTCTCTGGGTTTGCTAAGCGTCGACATGGCAGGAAAGGAGGCCCGGGGACATGTCAGCCTTAGCAGAAGGGATTGGGAAGCAGCCCCTCAAACCTGCAGACGCTAAGAAAGCCAGTCCATCTGCCCTGGAAAGACTGCCGTGTGCCCTGCTGTGGGGGCGGCTCACGCCTTGGGACTGCACGTTTTCAAGTGTATCATTTCTAGGCCTGTGGAGTGTTCTTTACTTAGCCCTCTTGGGGGGGATGGCTTCTAGAAATTGCCCTTGAGGGCTCAGGCTCTGTTGCTGGTCTTCAGAGTTCCATGTCAGGGCTTCTGAGGACATCTCCAGCCTCAAGGGACAGGCAAGGGGCCGGCCTCTGTCAGCTAGTGGCTGGCACAGGCCAGGCCGTTCAGGGCGCGGCAGGCTGGGACAACCCTTGGTGTCAGTGGGTGCGGCTGAGGGAGCTGCGTGGCAGGCGCCTCCGGGGGCCTCCCAGTCAGCCAGGCCGTCTGTGGGCTCCACTTGTCCCCCCGTCCCCCGTGCCCACCTCGTCCTTCCCTGTTGGGAGCTGCGGACTCTGCCCACAGGGCCGGTGGGGGTGGGGCGGGTCCCCAGTGGCTCCCAGCCCATGCCCAGCTCTGTCGCCGAGGGCAGGCGCAGCTCTGTAGGTCAGGCAGCCTGCACACAGGTGGTGAGGAGGAGCCCGGGTGGGGGTCCCCAGCGGGGAGCTGCTGGCCCTGTCCTCTGATGGCCCACTCCTCAGGCACAGGTGAAGGCAGCAGGAGGGGCCCGCGGGGCCCTGGCTCTGACCCTGCCTTCAGCCCGAGGGCCCCGGCGGCTCCTCCCCCGTCTCTGCCTCGGAGTCTGGGACCCCAGGAGGGAGCCCAGGCCAGTGTGGAGCAGGTGTCTGTGCCTGGGACAGTCAGCCAGGGCAGGAGCTCAGCCATGCCATCGGGGGCCCCTCCCTGCGGGGAGCCTCGGGGTGTCTGCTGCGGCCGTCCTCATGCTTCATGGACACGAAGGTACCAGAAACTCCAGCAGCACCTGAGCCAGGGACCACCAGGTGCCCCTCTCCCCATTCCCACTGAGACTGAGCAGGAGGGAAGGGGTGGTGCCCCTCTGTCCACAGAAGATTGTAACGTGCTGAGGGGTCTCCCAGCCTCACAGCCCATCATTTCTCTGGTTCGCAAGAAAACCTCATGCCACGAACACAGACGGCGTCCCCAGCGTTCCTAGCATCCCCGACACGGGAATAGCAGCCCCAGGACTGGGAGAGTCGAGATGAAGTCCAGGCTGAGCTGCCCCTGGTTGGAGGGACTCAGAGCTGCCGCCTCCCTCCTAGGAACAGGGGCCTTGCTGTGAGCAGGGGAGCACGGGGGGGCAGCTGGGGGGCTCTGCCCTGCCTCCGGCCAAGTGCCTCCTCCTGGGTCCCCTGCCCGGGGCCTGGCTACCTCGTGGGCAGCCTCAAGGCAGAGGATTGAGGGAGGCTGCCTCGGTGGGCCACCCACCCGGCCCCCGGGCCCATCTCCTTGTGACTCTGGACATCCTCAAAGTTGGGAGTTGGTAGGGAGCGGTGCTCTGGCCTGGGGGCCGCCGCCGGGATGGCCGGCAAGGCCGGCTCTGCTGAGTCTGCACGGACCGCGGACGCTTGGCTGGTCCTTGGGGAAGCAGGGGCCCGGCTGCTGATGGGCCCTGCAGCTGCCCTCCTGCCGGGGAAGCTCTCAGTAACCGCCGGGCTCAGGCCCAGGACATCTCCCCTTCAGGACTGCTGTCCACACTGTCCCGCTGGGGGTGGGGGGGCAGCTGGTGCCATGGTGTGTCAGGGAGGGAACCTTTGGGAGGAGGGTGTGAGCCACCATGGGTGAGCCCCTGGGAAGCCCCACTAGCAGAGCCCAAGTAAGGGCTGCTCTGGTTCTGGAAGCTTCTCTTTGGCCAACTGTGAATGGGCCTTTCTGGAGCCTCCCTGCCCACCCTAGGGGCTGAGCTGGCATCCCTCCCACCTGACCCTGAGTCAAGAGCCAGCTTGGCGGGGTCTGTTCTCTGGGGTTCCTCAGAAAGGAGGGGCTGACTGACCTGGCTGGCTCTGTGAGGGTCTGGGTTCCCTCTCCCACACCCTGTCACCCCCATCACCACCCTCCCCAGCCCCCAGCAGGTGTTTAGGGAGGAATTTGTTTAATCTTAGTCGTACAAAACCGCCCCCTCCCTTGCTGGGGTCCTGCCCCCGGAGGCACGGCCGGGTCCTCCTCCGATCAGGTCCTCGCAGAGGACGCTGTGGGAGCTCGGCAGGCGTTCTCAGCAGCAGAGGCGCAGGGCCTTGCGGAAGACGGTGCGGAACTCCGCGTTGAAGATGGTGTAGATGACAGGGTTGAGGGCGCTGTTGACGTAGCCCAGCCAGGTGACCGCGCTGACCAGCCTCGGGGGCACCGCGCAGGTAGGACACAGTGCCCGGGTGATGTGCACCACAAAGAAGGGAGTCCAGCACACCAGGAAGGCCCCTGGGGACGGGCGGAGGGCGCGGTGAACCAGGGTCCCGGTCCGCCCTGGGCACCGCCTCCCACCTGGGGCACCGCTTCCTTCCACTCCGCCCACGACCACAGGGCAGGTACCCACCGACCACCACCGGCAGGACCCTCATGGCCTTGCGCTCCCTGCCGGTGATCTTGGCGCGCCTCCTCCTGGGCGCCTGCAGCGGGGGCTCGGCTGGGACGGCGTCCTGTGGCCTGCCGGCCTCGGGGATCTCGCCGACCTCGGGGGGCGGGGGGCCGGGGCCGCTGGGCCGACGTGGCGCCCGGCAGTGCAGCTTGGCCTGGCGAGCTGCCTCCCAGCGCCGCAGGCCCCGGAACGTGGCCCAGTAGAGCAGCAGCATGAGCGGGCAGGGCAGGAAGAACGAGCACACGGAGGAGTAGACCACGTAGTCGCGGTTCTCCAGGCGGCACACGGCGGGGTCGCGGCCGCGCGGGTTGTTGAGGCCGCACAGCACGGGCGCCGCCACCGCCGCGGACAGCAGCCACGTGGCGCCGATGAGCAGCAGCTGACGCCCGCCGGCGCCCTGGCGGTTGTAGCTCAGCGGCACGGTCACGGCCACGAACCTGGGGCGGGGCGGGGCGGGGCGAGCCGCGGTGAGGGCGGCCGGCACCGGCAGGGGGCGCTCGCGCCAGCGGCCGGGCCGGGAGGGGGCGGGAGGCCGGGCTGCTGCGGACTCACCTGTCCACGCTGATGGCGCACAGGTTGAAGATGGAGGCGGTGCACAGCATGACGTCCATCGCCATGAGCGCATCGCAGAGACCAGGGCCGAACAGCCACACGCCGCCCTGGACCTGCAGAGGGAAGGGGCCCCCGGGCAACGACAGACGCAAGACCCGCTGACGTTCTTCCCGCAGTGGCCTGGGGCCAGCAGCCCTCCCAGCCACCTGCACCCGTGCTCTTTCTGACCCCCACCTTTTGGGGGAGCGGGGTCTGAATTTCAGAGGGGAGCGGGAAGGAGCCAGAGGTCCACAGGCCTGGCAGTCTTCACCGCTGAGCTGGAGAGGGTGCCACCCCCCCCCCAACTCCCCCCAAGTCCGGTTAAAACTGAGAAAGGCCTGGGGGAGACTAGGTGAGCTGAGGTGCTTGAGAGCCCAGGGTGGGGGTACTCCCAGGGATCCTGCTGCCCTGGAGCGCGAAGCCCCCGCCCCCATTTCCTCCCCACAGGATGACTGAGAGTCTGCCTGTCTGGTTAAATTCTCTTACTGCTCTGGGACTCGACATGTCACCTCACTTTTGTCCCCTCATCTGTAAAGGAGGCTGAAGAGAACGTCCATGGAATCGCCCTGAGGATAAATGAGCTAAAAGATATAAAGTCTCCTTGGGGCGCCTGGGTGGCTCAGTCGGGTGGGCGTCCGACTTTGGCTCAAGTCGTGATCTCCCAGCTTGTGAGTTTGAGCCCCGAGTCGGGCTCTCGAACCTGCTTCCGATTCCGTACCTCCCTCTCTCTCTGCCTCTCCCCTGCTTCCACGCATGTGCGCGCTCTCTTTCAAAAATAAACATTAAAAAAGATCTTTAGGAAGATATAAAGGTCCTGCACTGGACCCAGTACCCCACCAAGGGCAAAGGAGCGGACAACCACCCCTCTTCTAAATCCCCTCCTGCTGATTCGGGACGATTAGGAGCTTAGAGCTGTCGGTCAGTGACGTCTGTCTGTGGCTGCGGGGGAGGGGCAGGCATGGGTGCCCTTGTCCAGCCCTGCCCGCGCTCACCGTGTCCACCTTAGACAATGTGAGCCTCCCCTGCCCCACTGCCCGGAACACCGGGTCCCCGGCCCAGCCCTAAGCAGCTTTTCTCTGCCCCACCCTCAGAGCAGACGGGGCTGGCACCCAGGGGGACCCAGATCGGGGCTTCTGCGCCCTGGTTCCTGGCGGGCTCTGGAGCCCCGAGCCGCCCCTGCTGTCAGGTCGGGGCCTCCCCTCCCTCCAGCCTGGCTCGCTCCCCTCACCTGCTAGCAGCTGAGTGCCCTCCTGCTGTGGGCAGAGCGTGTGTGTGAGCGAGGGTCTCCTTCCCTTGTGCTCTCGTGTGCGTGTCCCTGGTCACACGTGGCTGTGGCTTTGTGCAGTGATGTGTACGTGTCTCTGTGCCCCCGGGAGAGCCAGAGGGACGGAACATGAACCTGCCTTTCCATCTGGCTCCCCTGGGGAATGGAGCCCAGCTGGGGGGGCGGGGGGCTGGACTGCCAGTGTCACCTGTTTCCGAGGCCCCTGGCTTGAAGGACGAAGGCATCTCTTGGGTAGCGGACCCCAAAACAGGGAGAGGAGAAGAGAGGCACAGCGGAGGGAGGGCGGGCAGTCGGCAAAGCAGGCAAGGGGACAGCGAGATGGGGGCGGGGGGGGGGGCAGAGGCTCCGCTTGTCCGGGACCAGGCTCCGGGTTCCCGAAAGCGGAGCAGCCGGGTCGCCCTGGGCCCTCGGCGCGGCGGGCCGGCCGCTCACCTCGGAGTAGACGAAGAGCGGCAGCACCAGCAGGGCCAGCAGCAGGTCGGCGGCCGCCAGGCTCACGACGAAGTAGTTGGTGGGCGTCTGCAGGGCGCGCTCGGCCGCCACGCTCGCGCACACGAGCGCGTTCCCCGCGAGCACCGCGCCGATGAGCAGCGCGCCCCCCGCCAGCGCGGCCGCCGCGCCGAGAGGCCCCGCGCCGCCGGCCGGCCCCGTCCCGCGCGCCCGCAGCAGCGCGTCCGCGCCCGCGGCGCTGCGGTTCCCCATGGCGCCCCTGCCCCCCGCGCCCGGGCGGGCTCAGCACCGGGGACAGAGCCGGGGCGTGACCCGGGAGCCCCGCCCCCGGGCCCGCCCCGCCCCGGCCGCTCGGAGGGGCGCCCGGGCTGGGGCTTTTGAGCCCCGGGAGGCGAGAAGGCGGACGAGCGCCAGGGCCCGCGAGGTAGGAGCTAAGCGCGCTGACTGGCTCCGGGCGCCGCGGGTCTGCGCGGGGAGAAACCGACGCGGACGGAAGGTCAGCCGGGCCACCCCTCGGGGCGGGCGGCCCCCCGACGCCAGCGCCGTCCCGCCGGGCCCCAGGCGCCCCCGCGTCTCGCACGCGCCGGAGGGGCGTGTGCGCCCCGGGGGCGTCCCCCTCAGGCCGGGCCACCCGGCACCGGGAGACCCAACTCCTCGCCGGCGTCCCCCGCGGGCTTTCCCTCGTTCACGCGACCCCAGCCTCTCGCGCCCCAGGACGTCCGGGGGTCCGTGGCCCTGCACCCCGTGCTCTCGTCCACGCCCCAAACCACGCCCAGCGCCTCCTCACCGCGGCCCCAGCCGGTGCTCAGATAACGGGAGAAGGTGCGAGTGCTTTCCTCGCCGTCTGCGCTCTTCAGGGGGCTCTTCCCCGAGTCACCTCCGCACGGAAGAGAAAGCCCCACATGAGAGACCTCGCTGCCTGCACCCCCACCCCCGACCCCGCAGGCTCGCTGGGTCCTGGGCCCTCCTCCTGGGAGCTCTGAGGCCATCGCCGGCCGTCACCCCTGCCTGCCAGCCCAGGGCGCTGGGGGCGTGGGGGGCCCAGGCCGCGCCCCAGGGCCGCGTGGGGAAGGCGCGGGCAGAGCAGGCGTGTGCGGCGCCAGGGGCGGCCAGAGGCGGCGCTGTCCGAGGGAACGCAGATGGAGAAGGAACTTGAGCCAGAATTTTTAAAAAATTTTTGGTGTTTATTTGTTTTTGAGAGAGAGACAGACCACACGCGGGGGATGGGCAGAGAGGGAGGGAGACACAGAATCTGTCAGCACGGAGCCCGACACGGGGCTCACGCTCATGAACCATGAGATCAGGACCTGAACACTGAGCCCCCCAGGCGCCCCTCAGCCAGAACTTTCCTTACAGACCTACTAAAATCAGAGTGCCACCTACCTGGGAGCCCTGCCACTAAAGGGGCCGTGAGTGGGCCACCTACCTGCATTCATCTGTGGGCCATCTGATGCACGTGGAACCCCTCAGTTTCCCTTGCTGGCTCCCCCCACCCTGGGAGGCTGAGAAAGGAAAAAAGAGGCAGATGTGTGACGTGAAAATATGGTCTCCCAGGCTCTGCAGCTGGACGCCCCCTTCTCCCAGCAGCACGTTTCAGGTGGTTCTTCTGTGGGCACCTGAGTTGAGGTTCTTGCTATTTTTCTCGCCCGTAGCTGTGAGTCTTGCCTGCCACTGGCTCGCTTTTGAACTTTTGTCAGAAAATCACTTGATCGTCTTTTCTTTCCTCTGTCTGTATGTCCTTCCTTTCAGCAATAACACACAGCCTTGACCGTTTTGGCTTTACAGCAAGTCATGAAATCAGGCTCTACGAGCCCTTGAACTTCGTTCCTTCACAACACTGTTTTGGCTTTCCAATTCTTTTGTCTGTCTGTCTGTCTGTCTGTCTGGATTTTAAAATCAGCTTGTCCATGGGGCGCCTGGGTGGCTCAGTCGGTTAAGTGTGTGACTTCGGCTCAGGTCGTGATCTCATGGTTCGTGGGTTTGAGCCCCACGTCGGGCTCTGTGCTGACACCTCAGAGCCTGGAGCCTGTTTCAGACTCTGTGTCTCCCTCTCTCTCTGACCCTCCTTTGCTCACACTGTCTCTCTCAGAAATAAATAAAACATTTATTTTATTTTTTTAAATGTTTTTTTAAAATTTATTTCTAGGAGAGAGAGAGAGACAGCGCGAGCAGGGGAGGGTCAGAGAGAGAGGGAGTCACAGACTGAAACAGGCTCCAGGCTCTGAGCCGGCAGTCAGCACAGAGCCCGACGCGGGACTCGAACCCACGAATCGCGAGATCATGACCTAAGCGAAAGTCGGACGCTTAACCGACTAAGCCACCCAGGCGCCCCAAAACATTTAAATAAATAAATAAATAAAATCAGCTTTTCCAGATCTACAAACAGAATCCTGCTGGGAATTTGATGGGGATTGTGCTGAATCTAGACAACGATTTAGGGCAAACTGACACCTGCAGGAGGTTGTGTATCCCAGTCTATGAACATAGTATGCCTCCTCACTGACCGGGATCAGGTACGTCTCCCCACTGACCAGGATCAGGTACGTCTCCCCACTGACCGGGATCAGGTACGTCTCCCCACTGACCGGGATCAGGTACGCCTCCCCACTGACCGGGGTATTCTTGGATGTCTTTCATCAGTACCTTGTTTTCAGCACATTTTTTTGTAAGATTCACAACTAAGTATTTCACGGCTTCTGGCACGATTAGTAAATGGTTCCCCTTAAAACTGCCATATCTAGTTGTTCCTTGCTAACATGTATAAATACAGGTTTTGTGTGTTACCTTTGTGTCTTTTATTGTTGCTAAACCCTATTAATGCAAGGATTTTTTTTTTTTGCTTGTTTTTTTCAGAGTTTCTACATAGATAATTGTCTTGTTTATGAATAGAGACAATTTTATTTCTCCCTTTCTTATCTGGATGCTCTCCCTTCCTTCCCTCCTTTTTTCCCTCCTTCCCCCTTATTTTACTACCTGGAACTTGAATACAATGTCGTTCAGAAATGGTGAAAGCAATATCATCTTTGCCTTGTCATCCGACTTACGGGGAAAGCTTTCGCTCTTTCACCAGCAAGTATGCTTGTCGCTGTGGGTTTTGGTTCCTCATGAGGTTAAGGAAATTCTATTCTTAGTTTTCTGAGAGGCATCAACATGAACAGGTGTAGCAGTCTCTCAAATACTTGACTGCATTTGCTGAGATGATCGTGTGGTTTCGCTTCTGTGGTCAGCTGATAGGGAAGCGCGTGCGTTGGCTTCCGAACCTGAGCAAGCCTTCAGGGCATGAGCCGCCTCTGGTCCTGTTCTCGGTGACCCGCTGCTATCAGTGATATCGGTCAAGGATTTTTGTGTCTCTGGTTCTCTTGTCTTAAGTTGTTTCCGTCTGGTCTGGTTACTAAGGTAACGCTGGTTTCGTAAATTGAGCCAGAAAGTGCTAATTCACTTTTCTCTTTTGTAACAGGTTCCGTAGAATGGGTGTTAACTCTCCCTTCAGTGTTGGAGTCGTTTGCCAGCAAAGACATCTGGGCCTGGAGTTTTCTTTGTTGGATGAGCTTTGACTATGCAGCCAGTTTCAGTAACGTGCACGGGACCGTTCAGGTTATCTGTCTCTCCTTGAGTGAATGGGGTATTTTTTCTTCCAAGAAATGGGTCCATTTCATGATAGTTTTCAAATTTAAGGGCCTAGAGTTTTATCATGTTCCTTTAGTATCCTTTTTATACCTCTTCGGTCTCTGTTATCAACATCTCTTTCATCCCTTATATCTGTAAACTGTGTATTTTTTTCCTGGTCACGCTTGCTAGAGATTTATTAATTTTGTCAATCTTTTCAAAGAACCAGCTTTCAGTTTCATTGATTTTTTTCTATAATCTGTTTTGTTTTCAATTTCATTGATTTCTGGTCTTTATGATTTCTTTCA